GGCCCGAACGAGAGCGCCCGAGTCCGACGCCATGTTGGAATAGTAACCGCGCCCGACGCCATATTGGAATAGTAACCGTGCAGTCAGTGCGAGCCTACTGCTCAAGGGAAAATATAACGCCCGGGCGGAGTATGGGGTTGGACACCTGGATGTTGCTTATACAAGGTAGACGTGTTAATAAACCGCTGTACATGTTTACCTTGCTTGCTTGCAGTTAGCACGGTTAGCTTTGCTTGCGGTCAGTGTCACTCCAGTTTGCTTGCGGTTAGCGTCACTCCATTTTGCTTGCGGTTAGTGTCACTCCATTTTGCTTGCGGTTAGCTTTCATTTGTGTGTTAGGGTAACTCTATATTAATTTATATTACTGTTCATTATATGTAGTTTAAATTTTCCACCTTCCGGCAGCTAGCAGCTCGGTGGTACAGTGGTAAGTAAGGGCACAGTGGCCCGGGTTCGACTCTCAGTGAGGGCAAATTTATATAGTTCCTTTTCGTCATAAAATAGTTACAAGACTTAGAATTTTAAGTCATGTTTAGTTGACATACTGTTTCTTCGTATAGGAACCCGAGAGGAAGTCACCCTCAATCTACGCCCGTGAGGTAGTAACACCCGCACGTGGCGGAATAATTCCTCAAAGCTTCTCTTTCTCTCATCCCTGTCTTGACCAACCCACATTGTTATGATCTTAAAAACATCTCTTTCTGCGCTTATCTCGATCTCATCACTCGATATCCACTTTTCAAGTTCCTGAGCTGACAAATTCAAAAGTCTTCGGTCTGGGCGCCCGCCATCAAGTGCGAATGTATGAATTTTCTTGTCGCCTCGCCAAGTTCGTTGAACTGATAGCTCTTGGCAAAGTGGTACACGGAAATGCAGTTTGAAAGAGACAAGTTCTGCTTCAGAAAACTCCTTGTGACAGTTTTTAGTTCCGTAAGAAGGAGGTTGTCAGCTGCTACCATGAGATCCTCGGCATCCGCTTAGGCCCAGTTCATACGTCGCATTTCTGCCGTGTCGAATTCAATTCAATTAAGTGCGGCAGAAGTGCGACTGTGGATTCATACGTCGCACTTGTGTCGCACTTAATTCAGAATTTATATTGTCGGGTATGTCGGCCAGCGGAAAATGCTTTAAACAAACGTAGAGTATTCAATATGGCGGACGAAAATACTGAGCGACGAAGGACTTTAATTTTGCTAAAAATTGTCCGCCAACGTAACGAGAAGGAGAAGGCTGACAACGGAGCAGTATGTGTTGCAATATGTTCGGGCTGCTCTGGGTCGAGAATGGCCAAGTTTCTTCTTTTTCTTTGGCGGGAAAACTTTTACGCATGCTCAATACATTAACATAATGTATGCATTAAATTCAACACGGCAGAAATTCGACGTCTGAATCAGTGTCGCATTTCTGTCGGATAATGCGACAAGACCAGTCGAACGTGCGGCAGAAATGTGGCAGCCGATTTAGATGTCGAATTTCTGTCGAATCTAATTCGTTGAATTGAATTCGACACGGCAGAAATGCGACGTATGAACCGGGCCTTAAGTTGATATTTGAACTCTGCCTGTGTAAATAAACTGCAGAATATGTTCCACAACAGACTCTGTTAACATGTCTAGCCGAATGACTCCTTCTATTGCCTCCTTCATGCCGCTATTCAGTATATTTTCAAAGAAAGGACTTGCTTTCGACAGAACCTTTCTATGGATCTTGAACGCTTTCCCGTTCTTGATCAGCACAGTAACGTGGCGCGGAAGATTGCTTGTATGCTCCTTGTTCTTGTGATGACTTTCAGAGGCCATTTCACACTTTCCAACATAACTTGGATGGGAACCCATACTTTGGATTTAAAGTGTAAGTCGTTCCCACTCGGAACTGATGGAACTGTCGTTTAAAGTTTTGTCCGCGTTCCACTTGCCAACATAGAGACCTGGGCATATTGTAAGATTGGATTGGATTGGATTGGATTGGATTGGATTGGATTGGATTGGATTGGATTGGATTGAATTGGATTGGACTGGATTGGATTTGTAAAACACGGATTTGTAAAATATGGATTTGTAAAACATGAATTTGTAAAACATGCACTGCCGGGCCCACTACCGGTAAGAACTTTGAAAATGACATTTGTTTGACTGTTAAATTGTCTATTTGTTTGCCTGGAAAATCTGTGTTTTACAAATCCTATTTAGAAATCCTTATTTTACGAATCCAATCCATATCTTTCGATATACCGGACACGGCGAATTGATCGACGTCGTCGAGTCCACCTCCAGTAGCGCCCTTGACACGCGGATCGCCAGAAGCCACCCGACCTGAAAGTCCGTTCTCGCCCGATTACGTTATAACAGAACTAAGAATGAACAACATATGGAGATCAGCGTGGCGTTTCCCAGAATTAATTTACATTTTCGCCCATGTGAGGACAAGGCAAACATTAGGCTCGATTTCCGCCGCTCTCTCGAGTCTAGTCTACGTCCCTAGTGCCTTCGGGGGAGGACTGCGAGCTCCTGTCCCGAGCAGCGGATGGTGGTAGAGCCTAGGCAGATATGACATAAGCAATTTCACTCATTTTGAACAAACTTTAACCGACATTTCGTTCACCAAGTTTATCAAAAATACAAATTGGTTTCGTCCCCTGACAAATCCTAGGGGTATTAGGGCTCCCACTATAAATCCCAGGGAAAAATCCCCAAAATCCTCACAAGAAGGCACTGACCAGAGATATCTTGCAATCCCACAAAATCTCCAGTAGACACAAGAAAACAAAACAATGGTCTTGAGGTCTTCTTGTAACAGACGAAAGAAAAAGTGAAGAAAAATTGACCTTGGCCGAAAAAGTTCATCTGTTAATCAAGAACGGTGGTATTCTAATAAATCCCCGATCAACATTGAGGCCTCTGATATTTTGATTTCCGCCGAATACTAATACACCATTGCTATTGTTTTCGTAATCAAACCACTGACCATGTTTGCTGGTGTTTGCGAGTAGGCTCAAATCTGGGTCGCACTATTTTGGGGCTATCATTTTCTTCAAAAAGAATGCTGCCCAAAAATACTAACTGAGCAAGCGTGCGTTATAAATCTTCCTGTTTGTTTGTTTGTTTATTTATTTATTTATTTATTTTTTTGTATTGCAGTCTGGAATAAAACGTTGCTTTTACGCATTCAAGAGCAGAGAACAGCGTTTGTTCTCTCCAACATGTTACCACTAAGCGGCTGCCCAGGACTCCGTCGCATTGTGAAGTGTTTCCATCACAGAAGTGAAGTGTTTCCATCCACTCCAGATCCGAGCAGGCCGCCTCTTCAGATCTGGATATTGCATCATCCGGTTGAAGACAACAAGTGACAAACGTCTCTACAAAGATGGTGAATTTCTCGAGACTCTCCAAGACACCCGCAATTGCTTTGACTTCCAGCATGGTCTATAGTCCCATTTTATTAGCTAACTGGAACCATTTGGCTAATCAAATTCAGAATTCATCCCAAGTTAATTTGGAGCGATTTTTTGTAGAATAGGTCTTGTGTTTGATAACGTCACATGCTCAAAATTCACCCCAAGCTTCGTTTGCGAGTAACTTTCTCAAACTTGTTGTGCTTTCTGTTATTTTCGCGTGGGTATTCTTTTTATCTCTGCTGCTTTGGGAATTTGTGCATAATAAAATTACAATTTGCCTTTCTAATCTGAGGCTTGGTGGTGAAATTCTCGTCTGATGTCAACGTGCACTAAGGCTATTGTATCACACCGTCTTCTCGCGAGACCACGACGCCCTCGTTCCCAGGGTCTCTCAAAACAATTCTTAGCCTGATCGCAAGTTACACGAAACTCAAAGGGGGGCATCAAACGTAATTTGGTCGGTCTGAATTCCGGGGGATACTTGACCCGTGATTGTAAATAAGAGTACCCCTGGGGGTTTGAAGTCCTGACCCTGTGGAGGACAACACCCTTTTTTCAAGAACCCCGTTCAGGACAAAGAATTGGGAACCATAACCTTCTAAATGTCGGCAAACGTCTCTGATCTCGGATTGCTAAGCACCTTATAAACTACATTATCATATTTAACGACAACCACCCGCACAACAATAGGTCAGGTTCAGAACCCCTTTATGAAAGACTTTAGTAAAACTATAGTCGCTGTTCAAGACGTTCAAGGCAGTGAGGCTTAAAACCATACCCTACCCGAAGGCATGTTAACCGCCATATAAGGGAGTGCCCCGGCCACCTTCTGAATTTAGTGCAGTTTGCAAGGTTTGTCAGTATTGTGTTTCATCTTTTCAAATAAAGTCAAACTTTCACTATACACGGTCGCTAGGAGCACCTGGTCCCATGGCTCAGTGGACCTAGCAACGGTGATCTAATCGGGAGGTCGAGGGTTCACATCCCAGCAGGGTCAAATAATTTTTCTCTCCTTCGAATGGTCCCCCCGCCATTTCTCTTCTAGGGCCAACGCTCGGAAAGAAATACCTCAGTTGATTTCCAGCACTCCAAATTACTTCACAGCAAGAGAAGATCAGGGTACCTTGATCTTCTCTCGTTAAAAGTTAATTATTGTCCTTTTTCACTATATATTATTTGGTTTGATGGCTCAGTACTGCCTTTTGAGCAGCTGGCAGCTCAAAAATAAGGTAACAAGTTTTCAACCGCTTCTTGCAATACCTAGTTTCAAATGCAACAAGAAGATCTGGCACAAAATGTCATAATTAGCCTGTAATCATTATTTGAAACAGCTTCGCATCTAGGTAATAAAACACTGGATACAAATAAAGTCTCTGAATTATTGAAATCGCAGTTTTACCCATGTGCTAGCTTTGCTAGTGTGTCCGTTTTTCAATGGCAACGCACTTGTAGATACCATCTCTAACACGAAGATCGTTTGTGTCGTGTTCTCTGCTTACGTACCTTGGCCTGCCGTCCACAATTTGGTTCAAGACAATCTTGCAGACACAACTTGTCACCTGGTAGAGGAACGGTTGGCCTGCAAAATCAACAGTACAAGCGGCATATCACTGCATTAAGAAAGGAAATCACACTCAGGAAAAAAGCGTCTACAGAAACAACGCATGCGCCCAACGCATACTTGCGCCCTACTTTAACCGTTTTCTACGCTATGCAGACTATGAACAAATGAAAAAACCTCGGAAGCGTTCACTCACACTAAATACGATGATGACAGCGCCATAACCTGAAGAAGTCGAAGTAACTACACTTAAGAATGTTCTGAGTGTCTGTATGAGGATTGTCTCCTAGAGGTATGATTAACGCGAGGTATGCTATAATCCGTCTATGGCATGGCAATAAGTCGTCGTTAACGTCTGACTATAAACCTAGGAAGCTCAATAGGCTGGCGCTTTTCATGTCATAAAGTGATTAGCAGTATATTCTATTGCCCTGGGTTAGGATGCTACTCCATCGCAGGTAATCTCTCCTCTCACACACTCTATAGGGGTGGAGAGAGCCAGTCTGAGATTAAACTGACTTTCCCAAGAACACTACCCGGTGTCTGTGGCCATAGCTCAAACCCAGGCTGCTCGATCAGATCAAAACAACAAGGCGTTTGTGGAAGACAATAAACAAATTGATTGAAGCTGTTATCCAACCAAGTTAGTTCTCCGTCATTTCATAACATGTTTGTTAACTGTGAAGGTGAATTAATCAACANCCCACGCTCGTGTCATGTTGATTAATTCACCTTCACATTTCATTACCGAACTTAAAATTCACCATCTTTATTAACTTATCATGTTTGTTAACTGTTGGGCTACCACGTCTCGGACTCCCACAATATATCAACAAAAGATAATTATTTCCACAAATTTTGGTTAAAATCACCTGTTCATTCCAGGCAGGTTTCCCCAGAAGTACCGTGCTCTGTGCGCAGGAGAAATCTCTTTTGCGTCTACAACCACTGGATTGCACTGAAACCAACAATCACTGTTATTTACTCCATTAAGATTAAAGTTACTAGTATCTAAAGAAACTGCTGGGCTGCAACAGCTGGCAGGTGACACACTTAGGTCAACAACAACTTCAAGGTGATAAAGGAAAAATATCTGCCAGAGCAAGTTTTATTTGTGAAGCCAACGAACGTTTCAATCCAGCGATGGGCCTTTCTCAGAGCAAAGATTAGTCAGCCATTGCATGTGATTTGAGGTACCAAGAAAAGTGTATGTTTTTATCGCGTCTCGATTGTATATCTCTTCGGTCATAGGCTCCTTGTTTTCAGATTTTTCTCAAGTTTCCAACTAGCGCTTATTCTTGGACATGCCAGCACAAAAAGAGCGTCATGGGTAAGGAGTTGTTACACTGGTTCTTGTCTCTCTTCCGCCATTTGCACTGCAAACATTCGGTTACTGTAAAGAATTGGAGTCCATAGCACATAACACTTCCCTTAGTCAACAGTGGCGGATCCAGACCTTGAGCTAAGGGGGGAGGGGCGGTTTTGTTTTGCTTGCCCCACGGGCTTTTCTTCCTTCGGTGATTTTTTCTTTTTCTATCCAAAATAAGGGAGGGCCGGGGGCCCCGGGCCCCTCCCCTAGACCCGCCACTGGTCAAGGCACTTCATTAACGTATCTCAGCGTTTCTGTCAAGTGTTCAGACATTAGACACGAAAAACTAACACTGTACATGTATATAAGACGCGAAGTTTTCCACTTCAAACAAAACAATTTGAAATCATGTTCAACTGAACAGCAAATAAACCTTCCGTATGAACAGGTAATTGGCCATAACCTCTTTCATACCTCTAAAAATCTTGAAATAGTGCTTTTATCTTCAGCTCTCATGCCAACAACATTTTCAAAAAGCCAAAAGAAAGGTCGTTCTAGTTCTGACTTGGGTCTCGCAAATTGAAGAAGCCTAAAAAAGTCAAAAAATAGCCGACCAGTTCCCTCTAAAAAAGAAAAGAAAAACAGCCGTTAGTTCACGGCATCATGGCCAAATAACTCAATACAAATAACATGGCTGGCTGCTGACCACAAATGCCATTCTTTTCAACGCTTAGAAAAACTCAAGCAACAGATTGAAAAAATGCTTACCATTTTCCTAATTTCTCTTTTCCTACCACAAACATATCTTTTCTTATTATTCCTTTAAGTCTAACATACCACAAGTTTTGCAATAAACACACAATTTACTACAATTTAATTACTAATTAAACACGACTTTAGTACTGCGTCAAGAGACATATCGTGTTGTAACAGTTCTCTTTGTTGAGTCATGTACAATGGTAATAAATAGTTAACGCAGAGGAAAACAGAACCAAACTCTCGATATCAGGTTTGCAACAGTCCGTACATTGTTGGACGAGTAGCATAACGTCTGTAATTCACTCAGTGAACTCACCACAAATTCCGCGTCTCACAGGATTAGCAATGGACAAGTCATTACACGGGCTTCCACCAAAAACAAAATCAAATGGTCCTAGCTCTTCCACCTTAAAAACAACCATAGATTGAGTTGTTTCTAATCACTGTCATAACTAAACTAAAGTGTTAGTAACCTTTCAGTCATAGGGCCGTATAAACGTATAGCTATCATGATAGAATCAGTTGTTGTTGTTGTTGTTGTTGTGGTTTTTTTTTGACGGGGAAAAATACAACACTACTGGCAAATAAATGAATACCTCAGTCATGATTTTTTTTTTCTGGCCACGGCTCTGTTTCAAGGTTGCACAATGCGAATCAAGCCAACGATTGTTGGATATACATGCAAAACCAAGAAGCTGCCTAAGCTGAATTAGAGTTGTTTTTGGTTTTACAAAGGACCGAAAACAAATAACAAATACACAGTGATTGATTCAACTAAAGAGAACCTGAACAACTAAACTGGCTGTTGAGATAAACATAACCTCTGTCACCTTATCCCTAGAGATTCCTTTGATGTCACCAATATGGTGGATCTTAGTTCCATGATGCACCTTGGCCACCTGTAAGATATGAAAGATACAAAAACAGTACATGCAAAAAGGTTCCAAATTGTTATTTAAAATATCCTATATCAGCCTGGTTTATTCTTCCACAAATATTTTGCCATTAAATCGACACAATGATGTTAAAAAGTTGTCATGCCTTGAAATATACGATGTGATTGATCCCTTTCAGCGACCCAGCTTTATTTCTTCAAGTTGTACATGTAAACTGCTTGGTGGCGTGGGGGATGGGGGGGGGGAAGAGTCAATAACAAGGCTATTCATTCTAGGCAACCTTTCAATACCGACCTGCATCGCTTGTTCATCGATCTCAGAAGCACAGTACACGTCTATTTCAATACCAAGTTCTTTCAAAGCTTGGAATCCTGAAATTGTTAAACGAACCGGTTATATTGGAGTCCTCCCGTTTGGCTTTAGTAAACCATTCTGTTTTTCAAGATATCATGGGCATAATTTCAGCTACGCGCAATCGCATTTCTGCAATAGTATTTATGCAGTTTGTTTTTATTTGCCAGAGGGGACTTGCAAATGTGCATTACTAAGGCAAATATCCTAACATAATGGTTCTTCCTTCAAGAAGCTGCGTTGAATATGGGATCTGACCCAGAATACAACTGAATGATGGATTCAAACAAAGATTCCTTAAAGCACTGGTATCAGTCACTTCTCCTCCTTGTTATGCCTGACCAGTGTTGCTGACCAGCCAGCTGTACAGGTTAGTTGTTGGAACTTTGTTAAAATAAGGTATATAGTGTACTAACCAGAAGCTATCCCATCAAATAATGACAGTACTCGGATTGGTCTGCGTTGCTCTGGAGGAACTGAGGGGAGAATGTGTGGTGCTTTCTGCAAATGACAATAAACAAACCAAGCATGACAAATGCTCAACAGTGACAACCAACATAGAGTTCAGAAAATACCAACTGAATAGTAGCGACCCCTTAAAAGTAGAGTTAAGATTTAAATGTTGGAAGCAAATCCCAAACGTAGCAACAGCTTTCTGTCATGGGAAATATCAAATACAATTGTAAATAATTTGTTGTAGAAGTCCCTGAAAACCAGAGTAAAGCTCTCCATTCTGTTCGCACAAAAACTTCTGACTCTTCATTTCAATAGCTGATTGACTGTACAGTGTGTAAAGTGTATTTCAAACAATTACAGGACAACTAAGAAAGACCCAAATACAGTACATATAGTAGTGACTCTCGGAAAATGGGCTGCTGTACTCCAAAGTAACAAGGGCCATTAGGTTTGAAACTTAACGGGATATGATATTATTTGTCAAAATATCCAAACCATGAACTATAATCATCAAATGAACCATATAATGAAATTGTTACAACTACACTGAAAATTCAATTCTTACAAAGTCCTGTTCTTTGTCATTCATGAATAATTCCTGAAGCTTGGCTGACCAGTCTTGTCTTGGTGTGATAAGTCCTTGTGACTTTCCTGAACACATGTAGCACACCCACTTTTCACAAGCTGCAATCTAAACAACAAACAGTGATAAGTAGACGTTCTAAAACCATACCTTGACAGTGTTGCTTTCGTGTGACTGCTGTGTACCTGTTACACAGTCATGTGTCATCAGTTTGCAGTTATGTAATATCCACTAATTTCTGAACAATTATCCAAATAAGAAAACAACCCTTTCACCCTCACACTACTTTCCTTCATTTTGTTTTAAGCTGGAAAATGCTGCACCACCAAAACAACTGATAAAAAATGTGGCTCTGTGTATCCAGACATTTTGTTAATCCTCGTAGCAAATAAGAACATTTTGTGTCCAAGATCATTCTCTCTTTCAACTCAAGTCTGTAAATCTCACACAGCTGCCATTCTTTACATCATTATGGCTTTGCGAAAAGGAAATAATTCTAAGGGTAGTCAATCCAAACCCTCCTAATAATAACGGGTTTATTACAAGAAGTGATGTTAGTGTGCATCCTTGGTGTACACATACACAAGAACCAAGGTATTGTCTTGATAAGTATAATTAGTATAATTTCCAGAGGTGAATATAAGAATTGGACATTCTGATTGGTCAAAAAGCTCATCATATGACGCTATATTCACCTCGCTAGAGCTTGGTTACTGAGCTCGCCATCTTTGCCATCTCAGCAAGTAAACATGGCGGACAGTTGCTGAATGAAGTTCTCATTTATTTGAAAGACATCACTCCAAGGACAGGATATTTGAAAGGATGGAGAATTTTTAAAATGACTGCTGTAGCCCTTGGACCAAAAATTTTTCAAGAACTCGTATTCAAGGCTTTCAAGAATCGTAAACGCAGTGGTTGTGTTGATCGCCAGCAGGTCTGAGATCGATTGACTAAAACTTATTTTTCTTAAAACTAAAGCTACTCATTTTTAGGTGATGATGACAACTGTGAATGAAGTCAACAACGATAAAACAAAGGTACCGGATAAATTTATCTTTTGTAGTGTTTCGCTTGTTTGTTTTACTGCCGAACTCGATGAGTAAATTGATTGACAATCGATGTACATGTAAGCACATTATTAAAACTACCGTTGCATGCGTGTATGCACACGAACAATTGCATCTGTGTTTTTATGTTTTAGTCTGTTATTTTGTAGTCCTTGATATTCACCTCTGAAAATTATACTAAAACAATTATTCGCCTCAGGCTCAGTGAACATTGGTGAATTTTCACCTCAACTTCCTCTCAGTGAATATTCACCAATGTTCACTTTGCCTTTGGCGAATAATTGTTAATTAACATCATCACTCACTTCTGTCACAGTAGTTTTTCCACATAACATGCCTATACAGAGGCTACAGTATGACCTGCAAGAGCACATAAAATACACTTGTCACTTAATCATAAACACTTCTACTCTTTTAATGAATCTAGGAAAAAGGGATTACTGCAAATGTTATAAACTAGGCTTCAGTTTAAGTCAAATATAGCAACCAGCATCAAATTTCTCACTGAACCGTTAAAACCATTGGTAATGTAAGTTTATGGAGGACAAAGAATATTAGCTACTAGGGGATCATCAAATTCTCAGCTCTAACATGGAGTGGGAATTCTTTAAGTTCACTTTGAAAAGGAAAGCACCTCCAATCAAAGTTAATAGAGGGGACTGGTTATGAAGCCCAGCAAACATCAAAGGAGCAAACAAAGACGCCAAGATTTATGTTGCAAGGTCCACTACAGTGCACAATCTTTTGTTTTGCACTCATACACTATGCATGAATCACATAACCAACACGTCTCTATTGGTTAGTTCCTCAGTATAGAGTAAACAACTATTGTGTTTTGTGCACCGTCAAGGCCAAAAAAGCAAACAAAAACATACAACAAAGAACTTTGTCGGGTTTCATAACCATTGCCCTCTATTAACTATGCTCCAATGTTTGACACCTCTTGGGTGTGAAATTTGGGTTCAAATTAAGAAATCAAATTGAGAATTCATTCTATCAGTTATGGCATGTTATGAACTAAAGCAACTTGTAAACTAAACACGTTCAAATCTGATGAGATCAAAACATCATAGCAGCATCAAAAGGTTACAGTGTAATCTCTAATGGTTTCAAAGAACATTCTTACAAACAAATTAAACAGAGTTTATCATTGACAGTTGAATAAAAGGAACAAGTCAAAGGTACATTGGGGTTGCAGAATCAATGGGGCATATTCCAAAAATGTTGCAGTTTCAGAGTCGGAATGTAATTGAAAACTGTTTCACCAGAAATACTAGTGATACCACGAGGTAGACATTACAATGAGGTACAGCCATACCCACTTTAAAAATCCTGGTTCCACCCCTGCAAAGTAATTTACTGCATAACTTACTTTCTTTGCAAAATGCTACACATTGGAAAGTAAAGAAGGATAAGGAAATTGTTACTGTGAATATTAAAGATGCCTCTTAACCTGTCAGAGTGTAGCTTTTCCAGATTTGAACTATCAAATAGCTGTCCAGAGAGTTTGCCTTTATTTCTGCCATGACATTCACAACTTTTTTCAAAGTTTTTATGTTTTGCATCTCCAAAAGGGGGTCACCCGCCACCCAGTCCAGCCCTGCCCACACCAACCCCGAAATCCGCCTCTGCATTGGCATAGCTGCAAACAAAAAAGTTGGTCTGGGAATGGTTAGGTTGAATCCCTAATTAAGATTCTAGAACGCCTGTTTAAAGAATGGTAATGCATGGTACTCAGTTAACATTTAACAATTGAACGCTTTCGTGCAAAAAGGGCATATATAGCATTTTGGGTCGATTTATATTTTTTGCAGGATTGAGCTAATTTTTGGCAGACTGACTTGTTTTGACATGAAAAGCATTGTTGCATAATTGGTTTTATTGATTTGTGCTTCATTTTCAAGAAATAACATATGCAAAAAAACTCTGGTCACAGGGGGCATGGGTTTTTTTTTTCCTTTAAGTACATAATTTGTGGTTTTCTAACCTGAAGCACCCAGTCTTATCGCACATAAAAACCTCTTTTCCATCACCACAGATGGTGCAGTACATCTAGAAACAAACAAGTGATTGCAGTTAAAATTGTGACTTGTGACTTTCATAATTATGATTACTGAATGGTACATCCAACATTTCTTGAATATACAAAGATCCTTGTAATATTTCACGCTGTATCACTGACTGTATAATATCAGCCTGATTGTGTTTCTGCCAATCTTGATGTTTACCAACATTACATTGATTTATAGGACATTTTAAACATTGCTCTACCTGTGAACCATCCTCATCATACAGATATACATTTTCGAGGAACGATGTCTACAAGACAAAAGGAAAGACAATTTAAATGTATACCCTAACAAAATGTCCAGTTGCCATAATCAAAAAGAACTCGGTATCATCAACATACCCAAGTGCTTTTGTTTTGAATGCTTACCTTACATTCTTTACACAGACCTCCCTCAAACAAAGGGTGTTGAGCACAAACTTTATTATCACCACATGCTAGACAAATTCCTTTTAAAAGAACAATAATTATCAATATATAACAGAAATAAAACAAGAAAACATGCACATAGCTAAAAATAACATTAAAATAACCAATAAATATTATAAGACAAAATTCTACAGGAAACTGAGCAATTTCAACTTTAAGTGGACGAAAACCTAACTACCAGAATAATTGTCAGTATATTACAGCCTTTTTGCATTTTCTAAAAGTTAAATTTTTTGCATGAAATAACAACAAAAATAATTTCCCATGGGAAGTCAAGGAAATAAATTTCAAAACTCAGAGAAATTGTGCAAACACAGGTAAAATGTCATTGCCAGTTTCATTTCACCAGTACTTTCAAGTGTTTCATCTGTATGTCAACATTTGTTTTTGACATTTGATTTCTTACGGAAATATATTTAAAACAGTCATAAGGAAGTCTGCAATACAATGTAAATTTTGTTGGTACTAAGTGTTTGTCCACTAGTTGCTCAAACTTCTGGTGTATTCCCTCAGTTTTTTAAGGTATCAGTATACCTCAATTGACCACCTCAAGTTAGCACATTTTCATGCAGAGCCAATTTGAAATAAATATGTAGAAGGTTTAGAAATTTAGCATAAGAAAGCAATATTTTTGTATTCACCTTTATCAAGTTAAATAAAATGCCTCAATTATTATGACAATGTGATTAACATTGAAAATGATTTGTTACACAATCCATTCAAATGTCCCTGCAGATTTCTTTTTAAACTAACCAACTGCCCACCAGCTCAACCGGCTGACTGCCACTCACTGTTCATTGGCTATAAGTTGTTTATTCATTATAATACAAATGCTAGTTACTCTGGCCATGGCTACAACATCCCAGGGCTCAAAATAATTTTCAGACTATGGCCGGTCATGTTGACCACCCAAAGTAATTTTAGCTCGGTCACATCTCATTTCTGACAAGTCAAGGTAATATTTTTAAAAAATTAGGTAATGTTTGCCTAATTAAACCCACAAATATAATTTGTTTGTCCAGTCTTTTAAAGACCTCCTTTTAAATTCTCCTAATACAAAGAAAAGCTTAAAACTTAACCAAACATAGCCTTGGCAGGGCTCAGCAGCTCAATGAAGTGGCATGGTGCCAGTGGAATTTTTGCCACCTGCCAAAGAAAAAGTATTGAACGGATGCGTATTTGATGAAACTTCGAATTTCTCAGTTGGTATATTGAATTCCATGAGCCGTTGTTTTGATGTTCTACAAAGTATTTATGTCCATCAAAACATAAATGAAACCAAATATGCATCAGTAGATCTTAATTTTGGGCTTCAGAAATAACTGGGTAAACAAATATAGCCAAAGAAGAAGTTTCTGTTTCCTTATTCTCACCCGTGCAAATGCACAACAAATCATCACGTTACTATGAATATGGCTACAGTTACACAACAAGTGTTTGGAAGTTTCTCAATGATGTGACTAAAATTAAGTTCTAAAGTGTAAGCCATAAAAAATCTAAACTCTCTTGTAGTCATATTAGTGAGAGTATTTGTTCACTTGGAACTAATGACCATCATTCGGTAGATTTTACAACTGATAGTGGCTAGATCTTGGTCACGTGCTATGCAACGAGTTGAGAGTGTCTCAAATTTCATTCTCGAACAAAATACTTTTACGGGTGTCTGGAAAACCCAAATAACAAATAGTGCATATAGTGTCCAATAGTGCAAATAGTGGTGAACAGTCGCGAATAGTGGCGAATAGTGGCTAATAAAGGTGGGAATAGTGACATTCAGCAACCAGTGCCTCACAGTCAACCTTGCAGCAATGTGAAATGGGATTTTCCCGCTAAAAAGCATAGACACTTATCAGGGCAAATTAAAAGGTGTTTCTAAATGTAATTTCCTCTGTTTTCACCACTGCAAAGCATAAATACATCTTTATAATGTTATCTTCATGTTTTCTGTTTTCTCAATGTCAGCGATGGGCAGCCCTAGCCTGAGTCCTAAGAAGAAAAGGTAGTATATTCAGTGAAATTCTGTTGCTTATTTGGATAATTAATTAACTCAAGATATAGTTTAGATGTTGTTGTTTATACAACCAGTTATCAGAGCAGCTTGTTTGTGTCTTTTTAGTTGATAAACTAATCACAGAACACTTGGCTCACATTTGTACTTTACTGGTTTTTTTTTCACAGAACATGATTGGTCAAATCTATCAGCGTCTGTGGATAAACACTATAACTCCATGTGATCAATTTCAACGAATCCAGATCAGTGCTGAACTAAAGCGGTGACTATTGACGACTATTTGTCACTATTCGCCACTATTTGCTACTGTTCACCACTATTCCCACTATTTGGGACTGTTCGTACTATTCACCATTCACTATAATAATAATAAATAAATATTTATATAGCGCCTATCCATGCCTGCTCTAGGCGCTGTACAATTCACCAAAATGAGCTGTACTGATCTTAATAATTAAAAATGTGCATTTAAGAAAGTAATAAAAAGTAAAGATCGCTAAGAATAATAAGCTTTCTTAAAAAGATGAGTTTTTGGTTTAGATTTAAAAGAACTTAGATTGTCACATGAGCGGATAGAAACAGGTAGACTGTTCCAGAGTTCAGGAGCGGAAACAGCAAAAGCTTGAGAACCATACGCCTTCAGGTGAAAATTCATGGGGTTAAGAAGTAATAAGTGTGATGATCGGAGGATTCTGGAAGGTTGGTAGTATGTTACTAGATCTTGAATGTAGACAGGAGATTGTTGATGAAGAGCCTTAACGGTAAGTAATATAATCTTGAATTTAATGCGTTCAGAAACTGGAAGCCAGTGTAATTCTTTCAGTATTGGAGTGATGTGGTCGTACTTTCAGGAACAGGTGATAAGTTGGGCAGCAGCGTTCTGAACAGACTGGAGCTTTTTTAAAGCACACTTTGGTACAGTGTACAAAAGAGAGTTGCAGTGGTCTAGTTTGGAAGACACAAAAGCATGGACCAGGATCTCGGTGGTTTTCGTATGTAAGAAT